GTTTTCTACTCCTGGGGTACCAGTGACCCCAATGCAAAATTGAAATTCCTAAAATTAACGCTTATATACGTAAATGATTTATAATTTTATTTTAACCGTGCCATTTGCTTCCCATAAAGAATTAATTAACGATCCTATTGAAGTCCTAAAAATGTGTGCTCTCCTACAGCAAAATTCGAAATCTTACCCGTCTCCGTTAACATCTATTAAGGCTAGTGCGTGTCCGAATCTCGAGCCAAACTTCCTCCCCGATAAACGCTGCAGCTCACTATAAAGAGGTGCCTCTTCCGTAAACTCTACCTTATAAATAACTACCAATCCAAAACCCGATTTTGCTTCAAGGTCATATTTGGTTGTCATGGGAACGCCTGGACCGCCGGCAGCTAAGTGCAGTATTTTATTATTTCCAGCAGTAAGCTTCCGTGGTAGTAGCCGATCGGATACAGCTAAAGCGGAGCCTGTAAGCGAAAGATTATAAAAACAAAAAGTAAGTTGCAAAGAAAATTAATAGTTTCTATGATAGGATAAGTGCCAATAGGAAATTAGTGAATAAGGATCCGGTTTAATTTAAATGACCTCAGTATTTGAACAAAGCCGTTGATTAATTTGTTATAAGTAGAAAATTTTGTACCAAATTAAGTCAATATTTCGTAGGCATTCAAGTAAATCTGCCAGTAAGGCAAACATTTTCTGCTAAAGAGAATTAAGACATACAAATTGGATAAATAGTAAATTTGGTTAGACTATAGACAAAACCCTTTCATTTTCTGGATTTGCAGATGAACATTGATTAAATGAGCGAAGCGGAGTATTCATGTAGACACAGGCCTTTTTAACAATTTCTTAAAAATCATAAGGCCAATTTTAAATGAGTTATCCTTATGATAAAAATTACAAGCGTTGCAGTAAAAGCCTAGGCAGACGAACATGTCGGATAATCAAGGCTTATTTTATAAGATAAACAAATAAACTTATTGAAGTTGTATGACCTTGTTTTCGCAACTTAGTCATGTTGGTAAGACGACTTAGAGGAATGCACCAAGTCCGGAGTCCTTTGTATGCATAATAATTTCCCAAATCGGACCGTGGACGTAGTACATTCCCAGACGTTTTGCCGCCATCGTCAGTGAGTTTTGCCAGTCTTAGAACCAAACTACAACGCGTCAGAAACAAGTGAAGCCGATCCTTTGATCAAACGTGTGCGAAACAGTTGTGGCATTTCTCCTTCGGCCCTGGGCTATCCACATTTCCTGTATGCTCGTATCACGCCTTCACTGTCACCATTTTTTTACCGTACTTATTTAGATGTAGTGTTGTGTACCCTTTTGAGAGGTATTCATAAGAACCCTTTTCACCCCACACTGGCGTTCTCACCCCCCTTCATCCTTGTGTTAGGAATGTTGATCAGAGTCTGCCATATTGTTACGCAGTCTTATCACAGTCTCCCTCTTGTCCCGTAGAATCCGTCTGCTATCTCCCTGGTTCAAGTATGAATGCCTCTCAAAAGGACACATAACACTACATCTAAATAAGCATAGTAAAAAATTGTAACAGTGAAGGCGTGATACGAGGATATAGGAAATGTGAATAGCCCAGGGCCGAAGGAGAAAAGCCACAACTGTTTCGCACACGTTTGATCAAAGGATCGGCTTCACTTGTTTCTGACGCGTTGTAGTATGG